CTTGTGTTTCAAAATACAAGTTTATTGTTAAAGTTAATTCAATAGACATTTACTAGTACTGTGTGAGTCAGGCAGGTACTGTTTGGCTCTGAGGACAGATCGGTAAAGACACAGACATGGTTCTGAGCCTCACATTCATCTGCAGGACCATAACGTAATTCATATGGGGGGGAAGAAAATTAAGTACTGGGGTGTCACTTGGTGGTTTACTTCTTCTTTTTTTTTTTTTTTTTTAGAGAGAGCAAGTGAGTGAGCGGTAGGAGGGGCAGAGGGAGGGGGAGAGACATTCTCAAGCAGATTCCCCACTGAGCACAGAGCCCGACATGGGGCTTGATCTCAGGACCCTGAGATCACAACCTGAGCTGAAACCAAGAGTTGGATGCTCAACCTGACTGTGCCACCGAGGTGCCCCTGTTTATTTTACTCCTGAATGAGCGAGAGTTTTCTTACTAGGTTTTTAAAAAATACTAGTAACAACCAATTAAAATTACTGCAAACATAGCAGGTAAAATATTATTTTAGATATAGAAGACTTATGCAAATAAGTTTGTGTACCTCTGAGCTGTCTTGCCATTTTGTAGCAACAGTTTGTCACAGCTCATCCCATGATGGGAAGGAATAAATGGGACATTTAATTTTTGTGTGTTAAAAAAACGCGTACAAATAGAGTTTAAAATATGCAAAACCTCAATGATATCATTGACTCGTGATCATACATTCTAATAAAGTTGTATATAAGACAAATATATGTATGGAACTTTTTAAAGTCTCACTATAAAAACCAGCATTTATAGTGTGAAAATTATGTGATATCATTGAGTTGGGGTAGTTGAATGTCCTCATGTATAAAATAGATGAGATATATTTTGATCACTTTTTTTTTTTAAGATTTTATTTATTTATTTGACAGAGAAAGACACAGCGAGAGAGGGAACACAAGCAGGGGGAGTGGGAGAGGGAGAAGCAGGCTTCCTGCGGAGCAGGGAGCCCGATGCGGGGCTCCATCCCAGGACCCTGGGATCATGACCTGAGCCGAAGGCAGACGCTTAACGACTGAGCCACCCAGGCGCCCCTATTTTGATCACTTTTAAGAGGATGGGGTTTCGTGTGTCAATTTCTGCTTTAACTTGGGAAATTTGGACGTTCTAGGAAACAGAACCAGTTGGCTAAATAATTCACATTGAGTCAGAAAGGCATCTTGGGTTTCCATTGGATTGGCAGCTTATGCTTTAGGAGGCAAATGTACGTCTATATGTCTGGTTATACTATAATGTTAATATCTTCATTTTAAATTATGGTATCTTTGTTTTATATGTAAAAAGTAATAAAGTATCTCTGCTTAGTGAAATTCAGGTGTAGGCAGAAGGTCAAGTTAAGAACTCGCAGGGTCACTTTGGCCGGGACAGCTCTGCAGAGGAGCGTGCTGCTGTCTTGAGGGATGTAGAAGGAACATTTTGCACAGAGGCTCTTTGGACCAGTGGTGCACAGCGCACGTCACCACACAGCCACCTTCTCTTCTTCCACCAGGAAAAGAGGGAGTTGGAGGTGGTGGGGGGAGACCCTACCTCTCTACACCTGAGACCCTCTGTGACTTCCCTCTTTTCATAGCCAGGCTCCTTGCAGGGCCTATCCATACTTAATGCCTTGTGTGGGTCTTGCACGGTCACTGATGACTTTCCAGTAGCCAGAATCACAGATGCCCACAGCCTTTGTCTGACATGAGCTCTCTGGTACTTGACCCAGCTCTCTCCGTGGATGGGTCCCTTGACTTGGTTTGTGAGTGTGCCTCCCTGGCCACCCCTGTCCTTCCCTTGGCTCTCCAGTGGGCTGGCTGGACCAGCCACCTGTTGGATGCAGACGGCGGTGGTGTCCTTAGCAGAGCCATCCCAGAATTACTTGTAAGACCTTCTCTCTAGATGCTCCTTAAGTTTTCTCAAGTCCCCAACCCACTCCTTACTTGGAAACAAACAAGTAAATAACCTGAACTTCTTAGGCCTAGAAGGGCTCTTGTCTGCAATTCCAGGCTCACGTTCCACCTCTAACCCCATGTCCCAGGCGCTGCCTCTGCCCTTGCCTTGTCCTCTCCTGGCATCTTTAACTTGCACATGCTGCTCTCCTAGCCCCGCACATTCCCCACTCCCCCAGGGCCTCCTGCCCCCTTTGGGCAGGCTAATTCCTTCAAGACTTGGGTAGGGAATCCCATCCAGAGGTTGGGCTTTGGAGCCAGATTTGGTGAGTCTCAGCTTTGCTACTTGCTTCCCTGTGCAGCTTAGAGTCACTTGGTCTTTCTGAGCCTTCATTTCATTGTACACAAAACATTAATAATGTCTCTATTAGGGGGTGTTAAAAGAATTAGAAATAAGGAGTGTCTTGCACAGAGTGGGCTCTCAGTCTGTGGTGAGGAAAGAGCACATTCCAGGTTTTGGGGGTAAGTGACCTTGACATGATACTTTGCTTCCCGCTAGAATTCAGAGTGGGGGTTAGATAGACCCAGATAGAACAAGAAGGCAAAGGAGATGTAGACTTGTATCTTTAAACAAGTTACTTTTATTCAATTGCCTCCTGATTATGAAATGTCCATTGAGTTGAGTCCTTATGTTATTTAAAATTTTTTGCATACAATAAAAAGGACAAAAGTTGTGATTTTACTTTTTTCTAAAGTACATAATTTATAGTCCTGCCCACTGATTTTTAGACTAATTGAATATTTACATGGTGATTCCATAAGTTAATATTTAATATAATAATTGTTATTGGTGTTTATTTTGTGCATCAGCCAACAGAGCAAGGCATTGAAGGGATAAAAATGAGTCAGGGTTCCTACCTGACCATTTTGTGTATATTTATACACACTGACCAATTTATGGTCTTAACTTCTGTGCTGCAGTTTCTGTTTTATTTTTAAATAAAATCAAAACACAATTGATGAGTTAACCATGAAAATAAAACTGGGTTCTGGTGACCTGACCAGCACATTCTCACTGTTGGCACAGGAAACCAGGATTTCAGAGATGGGGATCAACGATATAAAGGTGCTGCATTAAGACTTTTTGGAAGCAGTGTGCAGACAGCGGGCACATGGTGGTGTCAGAGCCCTCACGCTGCTGCTTGAGGGTTTTTTAGGTTTTCTCCTGACCAGTGTTGTGGGGCAAAAGGAGTCCTCGTTAGATGTAAACTTTTTTTGGTGATGGTGGCTTAAGTTTCTCTGTTAAGTACTTTTTTTTTTTTTTTTTAAGATTTTATTTATTTATTCATGAGAGACAGAGGGAGAGAGAGAGAGAGAAGCAGAGGGAGAGGCAGGCTCCCAAGGAGCAGGGAGCCCGATGCGGGACTCGATCCCAGGACCCTGGGATCATGACCTGAGCCGAAGGCAGATGCTTAACCATCTGAGCCACCCAGGCGCCCTGTTAAGTACTTTTTAATAGTCCCCAAAGCAGAGAGGAGCATACCCATCTGACCCTATCGCTCAGGTTCAGCAGTTCCCAATACTTTGTCAGTCTTGTGTCACCTGACCCCTCGCATTTTTTATGCTGCAGTATGTAAAGCAAATCCCAGAAACCACATTATTTCATCTGCAAATTATATTCAGAATTTTAGAATTAGTTTTGTATGCATTTCCTGGGGCTGCAGTAACAAAGCCCCACAAACTGGGCAGAGGAAACAACAGAAGTCTGTCCTCTCACATTCTGGGGGCCGAGAGTCCCAAACCAAAGCGTTTGCAGGGCCACGCAGCCTCTGAAACCTTCTAGGGGGAATGCCTCCGCACCTCCTCCATGCTCTGGAGTCGTCCACCATCTTTGGTGCTCTTGGCTTGTAGATGTCTCGCTCTCTAAAAGTCACCCATGGCCACTTCTCTAAAGGACACCATCCGGAATGGCCGGTCTCACCATAGCTGATGACATCTGCAAGGACCCTCTTCCAAATAAGGCCACATTCTGAGGACTGGGGGTTAGGACTCCAGCGTATCTCTTTGTGTTGGGGGACAGCTCAGCCCATAACATACGGATTGGTGTAAGCTTCCCGGAAGGCATTGAGACAGCATTTATAAGGGCTTTTAAAATGTCATGTCCTTTGTTATATTCTATTTTAGGAATTTATCTTTGGAAATAATGAAATATGTACACAAATTAAGGGTAAGAATGTTCATAGGTGAATAATTGGTATTAATGAAAAATCTGAATTATTTTCATGAAAAATCAGAAAATAATGGAAGAATGGTAAAATAATGATATAACCATTTGATAAAGTATTATGTAGCCATAAATATTGTGTTTGGGGAAAATATATAATTTGTATAAGAGAATGTCCATAATTAAAGCAGTATATAAAATACTGTGGTATGATCACATTTTATTTAAACAGTATAGACAGATTTATGTGTGTGTGTGTATAACAAAAAATGGGAAAGAATTTACTAAAATTATATTTGAAGCAATTAACTCTGGTTGTTGGGATTGGAGGTGATTCTGCTTTAATAATAGTTTTCTGAGTTTTCTAAATCCAGTCTGATGAACTTGGAATTAGTGGAAAAAAATGAAAGAATATTTGTTATATGCAATGTTATTTGGAGTACTAGTCTACTCATATTTGTAGGTGTTCAAACCTAAGTGGGAGAAACGTATGGCTGAATTCTAAAAGCATGTCTTAAAGCAGTTGTTGATTGTATGCAATAAAGTATTTGGAAAAGTACAAATTTAGAAAAGTTCATATAGATTATTACTAGATCAGAATGAATAATGTATCTTTGGACATTTTCTGCAGGAGTCCCATAACTTGGTATTCTGAAAATGTTAAAGCAAGGTTAACAGCCAGTTGTCAGGACGCTGAACGTGTTGAATTGTCTTCCTGTGTGTTAGCGCTCCTGGAAAAAAAATGTTGGGGAGTTGGTTTGAAAATTGTCCTCTATACACAAATTCTTGTGTTTGTTTTTTAATGTGCTTTTACAGAATAAGAAATTGATGTGTTATTTTATAGGGTTTTTTTCAATCTCTTACTTTTAGGTTAAAAATTTTGCAGTTATTTATCTTGTGGATATTACAGAAGTGCCTGACTTCAACAAAATGTATGAGTTATACGATCCGTGTACTGTCATGTTTTTCTTCAGGTATGTTCTCTTAAAGTTAACACTTCAGTTGAATATTGTTGGTCTGGAAGTTTGATGTAATCAAGATATCTTTACATTTGATGGTATTTATGTAATAAAGCTGAGTAACATCATGAGTCAAAAAAGGTTGTGGAGATTTAATTCAGAAAGAAATCACCATTTGGCATTGTTTTTACTTGTCAAATTTTCTGTTTATTGTTACTACAAAAGTTGATAAATAGCAATATTAAGCATTAGACATACCCCGTTCCTAACTGGTAGGGAATGTCTGGGTGGATTGTATAGGGTGTGTATTGGCTTTATATTCTGTGTAACAAATGAGCTCAATGTTCTGTTGCTCCAAGTTCGGGCAGGCTCAGTGGGTTTCCTCTCAGGGTCTCACGAGGCCCCAGTCATGGGTTGGGCCCTTTCCGGCGCTGTCAGTCGGGGAAGAAGCCACTGGCTCATTGGGTTGTTGGCTGAATGCAGTTTCCTGTGGTCATGGGCCTGAGGTCGCTGACTCCTTGCTGGCTGTATGCTGGGCCCTCCCTGCTCCTGGAGGCCCTTCCATCTCCACAGCCTGCACCTTCTCTGCAATTTCCTGTTCTGTTTCTACGAGGCTGTGAATGGAATAGACTCACCCAAATAATACAGGATTATCTCCTTAACTTTAAAGTCAGTTGACTAGTAACGTTCGAAAACATCTGCCAGACTCCATTTGTCTGTAACGTCACTGATGGTTGGCGTCTCACCACATCACAGTCCCAGGGACAAGGGCAGGAACTTCATGGGGTTGAATTTAGGATTTTGTTTACCACGGTCTGCCCTCTGGCTCCAAAGATTCACGTCCTTACCATATGCAAAATCAGGCATGGATGAGGCTTCTTAGGCTCCTGGACACCCCTTATCTGTGGCGCCAGCTCTCCCAGCACACAGTGTGGGACAGCATAGGAAATAGGTCTGGTTTCTCAAGGGGACGTGAGAAAGAAGGGGCTGACACCCCAACCCTGGGAGGGTTCTGCCTGGGCTTTCCTGCCTTTTCCAGGAAAGGTGTGTACAGCTGGACCATGTTTCAGCCTACTTCAGCCAGTAGCATTTTGGGGTTCTGTCATCTCCTTTCACTGCACCATCAGTCCCCTGCAGCCCAAGTCCCTGTCCTGGGCATCTGCGAAGATTCAGGAGGCACGCCGTTCCTCACTTCAGAGCTTCCCTGGGCTTCCGCACAACGTCGTGTGGCCTCTTCCATGTCTCTGCCGTGTCTCCATTGCAGCATCTTCTGCCCTCTGGAGGGGCTGGGACTTCATTCTTTCTGTTAGCGGTTCTTACACCACGTTGTCTGTCCACAGCAGGGAGAAAGCAGGCAGCCCCTTCAAGACTTGGCTTTTTCCTCAGGTGCACATCCAGGTGCATCCTTGCGACTTCTGGTTTCCACAGAAGCAGGACAGTGGCCCTGATGTCATGCCCCCAAGGAACAAGGGCCCCTTTCCTCCATCCCCAGCAGTGCATTCCTTCCTTCCTTTAGAGCCCGCACCAGCCGTGCTCCCCAAGTCCGTGTTTCTACAAACAGTCTCTTCAAAGCAGTCTAGGTCTTTTCTGTCATGCTGCTCAAAATTCTCCCCAAACCCTTCAGGTGCAACTCGTGAGAGCTGTCTTGGGTCCAGCCTCCTGCTGCCTGTGGCCAGCCCGACCAAGGCACAGTGGACGCTGTGGTGGAGGAGGCTGCAGAAAGAAGGCACTGGATTCTGGTGTGTCAGGTCTGGCTCTGCTCTCAGAAGAGAAGAAGAACCTCCTTCCACTCTTTCTAAGACAAGGCACATCAGTACTTAAGTTAATTTTCTCACCAAATGCATATATTGAGTCCTGCCAGGTTTTGTGGTCTAGCGACAGAACATTAAGTCAGATAAGACAGGGTTCCTGCCATCACCGAACTGCACGGATTGGCAACAGTGAGTAAATGAGCAAAGGGAAACAGGTGCCAGAAGACGGGTATTTAAAGAGACACAAGTACTGAGTCAGCATGGCGGGAGCTGAAGGACATCTGGAGGAAGTTTAGAATGAGCTCGTGCATTCTGGGGGGGCGGGCACATGGGCATGAAAAGTCGGGCCGTATCAGGGGAACCTGCAAGAACGTGGTGGCTGACAGGTGATGGAGGGAGGAACAGGGTCCAGACCCCCAGATTCCTGGGCCCGAGTGAGGATGTGGAATGTTATCCTGAAAGTAAATGTTTGCAGCAGAGAAGAAACATCAAATTTGCCTTTTGGACGCTCACTCTGGTTGGAAGGCGGCCAGACCGGAGACTTCAGGGTGGAGTACTTCATTCTTGTAGAAGTGAAAAGTTAAATAAATGAAAACTAATCTTCAACAAACTTGGAAAAATTAGTGCACCAAGGACAACAAGGGTTAATATCTTTGTAAAGTACACATATAAATTCATTTTAAAAAGTAGCCTCTTAAAAAATAAATTTGTAAAGTATCATCTACTTCCCTAATTGTAGAATTGCAAAATATACTGACTTCACAATTAGGACTTTATTATTAATAAAGTTGTACACAGGCGCTCACAAGAGCACCATGAAAAACTCGTATTTCCTAGGTAAATTAGTAACAACCCTCTGGAAAACAGTTTCCTTTTCCAAGTGACTAAAATTGTCCTGTAGGGTGTTTGTCCTAAGGGAGTAGCTAAACAGAAAGTTTGCACCATGCATGGCGAGCGTTTTTAAAATAGTATTTAGGTTGTTTCCATCTTCTAAATCGTGGTGGATCCTCTTGACTGTGTGTGTTCTTAACTGATGTTAAACAAGAGCTTGTGATGGTGGGAAACAGAAGGCATTTTTTTTCATGGAACTCTTTTTTAGAAGGATTTTTGTGAGCATTGACCCCCTGTCTCCTCTTTGCAGGAACAAGCACATCATGATTGACCTGGGTACTGGTAACAACAACAAGATCAACTGGGCCATGGAAGACAAACAGGAAATGATAGACATCATCGAGACTGTGTACCGGGGCGCCCGGAAAGGTCGCGGCCTGGTCGTGTCTCCGAAGGACTACTCCACGAAGTACAGATACTGAGCTCAGCCCAGCCTCCGTGCACAGAAATGGTGTGCAGTCGTTTTCATGTGGAAATATTGGAAACTATTTAAAGCCTTAGAGAAAGCGTTTGGAGGAGAATACAAAGATGAAGGGGTTGGAGGGTCTTTGTGGTAAGGGTTGCATGGCCTCAGCTCTCCGCCTGCCTGGCCGTTGTATTTTTTTTTTTTTTAAAGATTTTATTTATTTATTTGACAGAGACACAGCGAGAGAGGGAACACAAGGAGAGGGAGTGGGAGAGGGAGAAGCAGGCTTCCTGCGGAGCAGGGAGCCCCATGTGGGGCTCGATCCCATGACCCTGGGATCATGACCTGAGCCGAAGGCAGACGCTTAACGACTGAGCCACCCAGGCGCCCCCATTGTATTTTTTATATTAGCAAATATCTGTAAATATCTAGCCGAAATAAATACGCAGTAATGGAAAGTCGTAATTGCTTGTTTCTTAAGAAACTTGCCATACAGATTACTGATTTTGGCGGTCCAAAATTACTTGTCATCTTTCCCATTGGAGTGGAATTCAGGTGTATGTCCTGTGGGGCCACTGTGTTTGGTTCGCCTGGTGGTGGGGATCCGTGTGAGCTTCCCAGGGCTGCCGTAACAAAGAGGCCCAGACTGGGTGACAACGGACATGAGCTGTGTTGCAAATCTGAAGGCAAGAACTCCAGATCCAGGGGTGGTCAGGGTGGTTCCTCTGGGGCTGTGATGGAGAAGCTCTGCTCCCCACCCCTCTCCCAGATTCTTTGGCATCCTTTGGCTTGGTGCTTCACCCCGATCCTGGCCTTCATCTTCACATGGCCTTCTCCCTGTGTGTCTGTGTCCACATTTCCTCTTCTTGTAAGGACACTGGTCATTGGAGAGGGCCACCCTGCAGCAGCATGACCTCATCTTAACTAATTACATCTGTGATGACCCTTTCTCCAAATAAGGCACATTGTACTGGGGATTACAACTCCTGACATAGCGGGGTCGCCTGGGTGCCTCAGTTGGTGAAGCATCTGCCTTTGGCTCAGGTCATGATCCCAAGGTCCTGGGATCAAGACCTGCGTTGGGCTCCCTGCTCGGCGGGGAGTCTGCTTCTCCCTCTGCCCCTCCCCCTGCTTGTGCTCGCTCTCTGTCAAATAAATAAAATCTTTAAAAAAAAACAAAAATCCTCCCGATGTAGGAATATATGGGGGGTGGGGGGTGGGCACAGTTCAACCCACAACAGGATCCAAAGGCTTGAGTTCAGAAAGAATATACAGTTGGGGAAAAAAGTGTCTTTTATTCTGGTTATAAAAACAGTGCAATAAAATAATGATTCCTGGAGTTTTCTTTTTAAATATAAAGAGTAAGGGTTGTTTCTTATTCCTCCTAAGATCATATCTAATCTACTGAAGCGGACTGTATTTTCTGTAGAAACCATGACCCTTTGGTACATGCAGTTAGTTTCCTTATCACGGTCTTGAGTTTCTCTTGCCCCGGCAGCATGTTGGTGGGTGGGTGGTCGGGAACTTCCCAGGCACATCTTGTGCACACGGGCTCTGCTGTGAAAACTCTGTCCTCTCCAGTGAGGAGGTGGTACTGTCTGCTAGCCCGTGTGTGTCTTAGAATAGTGCCTGGTGGCCCTCGGTGGTGTGAAAGCACCCTGCCGTGGCCAGATTGGCTGACTGGCTGAAACACAAGTACGGACCAGCAAAGTACAAGTGAGGTGTGCTTTAAGTGGATTTAAAATTCAAATGCAAATCCTCAGCTTTGTTGCTCCAGCCTTAATTTTCCCATTTACAAAATAGGGAGTATAATGCCATATCAAATGAGGGGCTAGTGGAAAAATCTTGGTTACCCCAAGTACCTGGCATATAATAGACATTCAGTATTCTACTTCTGGCTTTTCTCCAAGATAGAACAAACAGTCAAGGATCACATGAAAAACTCACTAGTATTAATCAATAAGCAAATGCAAATTAAAGCCTGGAGATGCCAGTTCACACCCGCTGGGTTGGGTGTGCATAGATCCAGAGGGTCCGATTATTACAAGTGTCAAGGGCATGGAGTATTGTTAGCCTCATACAGTGCTGGTAGAGACTTGGAACGGGGAACCCCCTGGAAAACAGTTTGGCGGTTCCTCAAAAAATAGGGAACTACCATTTGACCCAGCAATGTCAGTCCTAAGTACATACCCAGGAGAACTAAACACATCTGTCCACACGAACTTGGACAGAACATTGGTGGCAGCATGATTCACAATAGCCAAAATGAGGTGACACCTCGCATGTCCATCAACTGCAGAATGGATAAACAAAATGTGGTCCATCCATACAATGGAATATTATTTAGCCATAAGAAATGAAGTATGGATGTAGGATCCAGCATGGTGAACCTTGAAAACATGAGTGTAAGTGAAGGAGCCTAGGCACTACATACTGTATGATTCCATTTTTATGAAATATCCGGAATAAGCAAATTCATAGAGACAGAAAGTAGATTAGTGGTTGCTTAACACTAGGGGGAGGGGGAAAGAGGGAGGCAATTGCTATGGGTATGGGGTTTCTTCTGGAGATAATTAAAATGTTCTAAGACATTATGGTGATGGTTGTACACATCTGTGGATATACCAAAAACCATTGAACTGTATGTGTTAATTGGGTGAATTGTATAGCATGTGAATTATATCTTATTGATAAAGCTTTATTAGCTGTTAAAAAAATAAGCAAAAAATTACACTCCACATTTGTAAACTTACCATGTAGTTACCATAAATTTGTTGTATTTATAAGTTTATATCTTATTATTATGTACCTATTGTGTACCTTGCCCTGAACTTAGTGATTTACGAGCCATTTTCTCAAATCCTTCCAACCACCTGCCAGGTAGTTTGCAGAGAAGGGAACTAAAACTTAGTTTGCCCAGAGTTACAACTCATTCAGAGGACATGAATTCAAACCTAGATCTGCATGGATACCAAACCTTGCCTCATTGCTGCACCATGTTGCTTTATTCAAGTTGAAATTAGTGCAGAAAGTATACCAATACCCCTGGTTCTCTGAGCACTGAATGATTTGTTTCCCATCCTCCCCAGGATGGTTTTTGTGCAAAGTCCAGGAATTAGTCTTGGCAGCTGACACAGAGGCAACAAGCCTAGCAGGTACAGAATATATTCAGGGATGCATTAAGTAATCAAGTACCTTGATTAGTTTCCTTAAAACTGACACAGAGGAGATAGGCAAGTGTGTTTATTGCGGGATTACTTGGAAACAATTGTTAGTCAAATGGAAAACAAAATTCAAAGGGTTATTACACAGCTGCTAGTGACTGAAGTAGAGCTACACACATCGACACAGATGAATTTCAAACTGCTGAATGGAGAAGCTAGGTACAGAAAGATACCATGGCGTGATGTCATTTACTTAACAGTTTTCAGACATTCAAAACAAAGATCTGAAACATTCAAACAACCAGCAACCTCGTGTGTTTGTGGTAGATTGTTATATGTGGGTCCCTACAGTAGACTGCCTCTTTCCTACTGTTCTGAGCCCGTGCAGAGAAGAAATGAGGAGTTCTGGGCACTGACAGAATCAAAGCTACAACCACCCTAAAAACCACTCACTGATGATAACAGAAACTGCACCCAGAGTTTGGTTCTTCAGGTTACTCAGTCAAAATACAGGATATGTTCATGGCCTCACCAGGTTTCTTATCTGAAAGTTGAGGTGCTAGTTGGGAAAGTTTAATGTCTTGAAAATCATAATGGGGAACTTTGGGAGGACTCACTTTATATGGGTGCCATTTTGAATCGTTTTTTCTACACTATTTTTATTAGTGGCTTTTAAAATACATCTGGTTTTAGTATTCTTTGGTGGCATTTTTACATTTATCATCAAAAGCTATACAAAGAACACCAACAGTGTCTTCATGAGATCTGTATTGCCTTGCACACTGTATTAGTCTTCCCCAGCCACTGCGATAGCTCACGTCCTCCATCTGGCCTTTGATTCTCTTGTTCGGTAAAGTGGTTAAGCTCTCACACATCTCCATGGACAAAAAGCACCATATAAAAGATTGTGAAGTATTTCAAAACTCTTGAAATTCATTAATTAATTTACTTAAAAAAAAAGTTTGAGTAGCTCCTGGGCCCCAGGGCTGAGCGAAATCAATCTGGTTTCTGGCTGCCCTGTGAAGATAACCAAATGATCACGTAAAAAGTGAAATTACAATGGTGGTCGTCAATAGGTAGAGTGGGCACAGGTTGCAGTGGGCAGAGGTGGGAGGCTTTGCCTTGGGAACCAGCTGTAACATGACCAAATTTTAGTTCTGAGAAGATCTTTCTGTCCCCTTGAGTAGCTAAAAGGGTATTTGGGAAGAGAGTTAAAAGCCTATGGTAAAGAGACCACGGTTGTAAAGAAAGGAGATTAATTGTGAGAATTTAAAACTTCAGACAATTGCACCCAGAACTGCTGACTTACAGATTTAGCCCTTTATTATTAAACTTGGATGTTTTCAAAAGTTCCCAAATTTTGAGTTAAATGAGTTTTAAGTTACAAGTGTATGAATGTAGACTTTGATACTGAATTCATGACATTTTACTTAAGTATTCTGTGAGTAAACTGCTTGCTACTAAAGTTTCATATTGATCTAGTTTATATTAGAATAAGTGTGTTTAAGCACATGTAAATCCATCTACTACTTTCCCTTTTTTCCTTGTGGAAGCATTTTGATTTCTTTTAAATATGTGTGACAGGGTACTGGAAAATAGCAACTCTTTATAAAAACGATAGGAAGATGTTAAAACAGGTATGATACTACAAAATGCCCAATAACCTCTACAGGTAGGCGCCTGTGGTTTGAGTGAATGAGATGTTAAACGTCAGACTGAGGAAGAGGGCCGGCTTGGAACCTTCTTTAGAAGGAAGTTAGTACTTTTTTTGGCAGCATAAATGTTTTTATTTCATCTTTTAAGTAGTTTCCACACCCAATGTGGGGCTTGAACTCATGGCTCTGAGATCAAGAACCGCATGCTCTACCAACTGAGCCAGCCAGGCACCCCTAATATTTTTATTTTAGTTAATAACTAATAGAAGCTCTTCCCCCTCACCCGCTTTTTTAAAAAGATTTTATTTATTTATTTTGAGAGATAGGGCAAGCAGGGGGAGGAGCAGCGGGAGAGGGAGAGAGAATCTCAAGCAGACTTCCCTCTGAGGGCAGAGTCCATCGCGGAGCTTGATCCCACCACCCTGAGATCATGACCTGAGCCGACTGAGCCACCCAGGTGCCTAGAAGCTTTCTTTTCTACTTACCTAATTTCTTAAAAATCCTGGATTTTGAATTGTGATCTATGTTATTAATGAGGACTCAAATCTGGTTTACTTCAGTTCAAATATCCACTTTAGTTTCTGCTGAAATTATAATAGCAGCTAAGATGCTTTGAGATTTTTCACATAATCCAATGGAACCACCATGATTTTAAATCACCAAGAATACTGAATTTAAATGATGCCATTTTAAAACTTTGGATTAAAAAAAAGAAAGACATGGGGCACCTGGGTGGCTCAGTTGGTTAAGCGTCTGCCTTCAGCCCAGGTCATGATCCCAGGGTCTTGGGATTGAGCCCTGCATCAGGCTCCCTGCTCAGCGGGGAGCCTGCTTCTCCCTCTCCCTCTGCCTGCTATTCCCCCTGCTTGTGCTCTCTCTCTCTCTCTCTCAAATAAATAAATATCTTTAAAAAATAAAAATAAAATAAAAAGAAAGACATGCACCACTGTTGGGAGTATAAAATGACACTTCCTTTCTTAGATGCATTTGTCTAAATGTACTTGGCCTTCAGTCACACTTCTGACCCTAATGAAATGTGCACAGAATTCATGGTAACAATGCTCCTTACAGCATTATGTATAATAGCAAGAAAGTGGAAAGTAGCCTCAATGTCCAAAGGATAGTTATGGGAAAGTTTAAGTTATTACAGCCATATGATAGAATAGTAGTCAGCCATTAAAAAAAAAAAAAGTATGAAAAGTGTTCGAAATTCTCACATGGAAAAAATGTTTATGATATGAAAAGGGAACAGGATATGAGATTATAAACAACATGATCACCCATATATAATATTGTATGCACAGTGATTAATTCTAAATTGTAGAATTCTGGGTGATTTTGACTTTTGTATGAAGAATAAGATTTATCTCATATGCAGGAATAATGTTATTTTTTACAATGACAGCCTATTACCAACCACTTTTTAGATGATCATAGCTCTATTTTACTTTGGCTTAGAGAGGTAAATTGGACAATTATTTGATTGTCTCTATCTAACCTACAAAATAAGTTGAAGTGTATCTTTGTGCTTCTCCTTGGTAACTACCTCTATAGGAGCGGAGTGGGTGAGGCTGACCTCAGAACTGAACACCGAGCTCCTGGATATGCTGTTTTCTTGGGTTTTGTTTGGTTTGGAGAACATTGCTATCCGAATCTGTTTGAACTAGACAGATTAAAATGACTCTTCCCAAACACTCTGTGACTGGAAAAGTTGGGTTGGAATGCAATTATTTAAAAAGCAATCTCAATCAGAAAACAGCTTATGATGTTTTTTAAAAAGATCTATTTAGAACTTAATTCAGGAAAAAAAAAAAAGCTTTTCTCCCGTGACTTATAAGTACGAGGTATGCCTTGAAAAATTTTACAACCATCTTTGTTAATCACTTTCTGGGTTATTGGATTGTTTGTTCTTTTAATCTTTCATTTTATTAGAATGAATTTTTAAATAAAGTAGTAAAAATCAGAACTCATGTAAATTATTATTTAAAAAGTACAGTTTTGATTTTATCACATTTTCAAGTGACCAGTCTACTGTCCTCAGGTCTGTAAGAAAAAAATTTGAAAGAGGTAATGGTTGATTTATATACCAATTAATGTACAGTTAAATAAATAAACTGGACTCCAAAGCTTTTAATAAAAATACCTTAATTTCCTATAATTATTAAAACATTTGTGGATAGGAAAAATTCACTACATCGAAGAACATAAATGTTAAATGCTTTTCCTTTTCCACATATGGAGTCAGTGCGGATTCGTATGTGGTCAGCGCGGGTTCGTATGGGGTCAGCGCGGATTCGCAGCCGGAGGTGACTATACAGTGTACACTCTTGAAACAACAAAACACTGCTTCTGCATCAATATTCCGTCGCTGTGACTAACCATCCCGAGTATCTGGGAAAGAACACCCATGACAAACGCTGCCTCTCTGCATGGAATTAACTGCAGGAAAGGGGCCATGGTGTTGCTTAATGGGGACACGGACAAACTTAGAACGTTTTCAACATTACGGAGTTTTCAACATTACGGAGTCACCGACTCTGCCTCCTCCCCCTCCCCCTCCCCACAACAGGAACGCGGGTTTCAGGGGTGTGCAGAATCCCCTCAAGTCCCCGGCACAAGCCCTCTGTGAACCCTGACCTAGTGCAACCAACCAACACAGATTTATACAAACATCTCAATTTATTTAGGTCTTTCTATTCATTTAAAAGGCAGTACCCCTTTTAAACAAACTTGGATATCTGACTTCTCATGCTGCATGCGCATCAAACAGTGAGGTTTCCACATCTACTTATCATTTAACTTGATGCTGAGTATTTCGTGGTTTTAACCAAATTTAAAATAGCAGCTGGATCTGGGTGATGAAGGGAAGGGCCCAGGTTCCTGGGCTGCCACCCCAAGCCTGCAGTGGGCAGTGTCTGCCCTCAGGCTCCCCTCTTATCACCAAATCAGTCCTGTGGGTGGAGAGCTTGGCTGGGAGGCTGGGGAGGCTAAGGCCTCAGGGCAGGTGGGACCGGAAGCACCCCGAATGCACCCTAGAGACAGAGTGCCCCCTGCAGTGTTTTGCAGCTCCTAAGCAGCAGGGCATGGCTTCCCATTACCTTTTTCACCAGAATACCAGATGTAGATATTTATAAGTCGCTGAGAGGTGAACTGGCCCTGATTTAGCGGGTTAAGTATGGATCATTTGCCCACTGACTTAGGATAACAATTGTAAAAGAAAATGGGAAAACAAAGGCACCTAACTATTCACTCAAAATATGCTTATATAATCAGAATATTATGGAAATAAAATATGGGTAAGTATTTTCATAAAATAAAGTTGTGTCTCTCCATATGTCACATGGACATAAATCCAGTCTGAGACCTGAAGCCAAGCATGTATTTGCATCTTCAAGATTAAGTGTGATATTTCACTGGAAAAGAAATGTTTGCATTGTGGGGGCCAGGGTGGGACCCTCAGGAACCACCATGAAACTGAGGGCTTAATGCACACACGTCTTCTTTATAAATGGTTATGTAAATATATTGTCTCAAACAGAAACTACTAGTTATACTCCCCAATCTCTAATTCATACTAACTTGTGTTTTGATTGAAGACTAATTTGAGGGGTGGTGGTGAAAAGTAGTTTAATAAAAGCCAATTTTTAAATAATAGAGCTTGTCACTTAAAATGTACACTTTTTAAGGAATTATGACTAGGAGTGTCCCAGTTAGTCTATTTAGAAAAGAGCATTGTAAATGTCTTTTATTATTCCTGAAGGTTTTCCATGTAGTACAAAGGCAGTAATCCCCACAGTGAAGAAATATGGGATTGTATTTTTCAAGATGAAAGCAATCAAAAGATATGCAAAAGGCAAACACATTTAGTTTCCTAATGATGACCTTACCATTTGTTCTTTAATAGAATTTTCAATCCCAGCTTGCACCATTAGGTCATTTACATTCTTCTGTAAATCCTCAATGCGATTTCCCATTTCTTCCAGTACAACATTAAGGAGAATTGTACGTGGGGTCCAGAGCACCAGGCAGAAGGCCCTGAAAGACCCTACTTCAAACTGCACCTACTCATCAAGGCAACTGATAAAAATGCCCCAGCAGTGCAACTTTTAAAATGAGGGAGTCAAACACTGCATGTACTAACACCTTCGGGTCAGTGCAAATTAACTATTTCCCTGAGGTTTTTGCAATGTGTCTTTAACCTCTGAGCTGTGAGCTCAGTGCTGAAAACTTGGCTCCCCTTGTGTACATACACACACAGGGACATGAGATGGTCTGGTATGTTTATGTTTTAACTAAACTCTATAATGAGTATGTATATATAATGGAACTTAATTCTGTTTAAAACCAACTTCCCTACAGTTTAATTTTATCATGTTTAAGAATATTTTTTTTCCCTATGGGAACCCATCTACAGAATCAAAATTTGAGGTAAATGGTTCCATATGCAAATACTTTGCATATATTTTCTATGGAATGAATTTAATTGTGTAAAGTGAGCTCTAGCTCGCCAAATCTTAGGGCAGATGTTACCATTATCTGGCTTTGCTTGGTGGAAACAAACTTTCTACTCTAATTCTGTTTGAAGTCACGTCTTAAAATGGTGAGAGGCTAAAGTTGCAAAAGAAAACAAAGGTCGGGAGAGCCACTTATAGTTGAAGACATTCTGTATTATGTTTGCAAGTTTTGGATTGCTTGGTAGAGTATAAATGTTATTCAGCAGACTACCCAGATTTATTTAGGGCTTGGTGGAAATGCCCCACTGGGTAGTGTTGTGCATTGTGTCCTAGCATTTTATCATTGTCACACAAAATGCCCTCTATTGCTGTCCACGCACAAAGTACCTGTGAATGCTAATGACTACATCAGGGCACCATGGAAGGGCACAAATGTAAACACCAGGAAATCCTAGGTCAACAATTATCCACTAGTAGCAGACAAAAAGGTATTCCAGGATAATTTTAGAGTTCAAAAGCATCACAGTATTTGTTATAAGATAGAAAAGGATATTTCTGAGGTTTAATGTTGCAGTCAGAGCTTGAAAATGTTCTTGAAGTTCCTGAAATAGATTTTCTGCCTGAAAAAATAAACCATAGGACAACTGAATGTAATATTTACTTTTTTTTTGGGTCTGTTGATGTCTCAAATTTAATTAAATTAGATCTATCGCCTTCCTTTTTTTTTTTAAATATTTACTCTTGATGTAGGGCATTTTAGCATCATTGAAGAGAATCATCCTTATTTAGTTAGTTAGATTTTCGACAAGGTACCAAGGCCTATAAAATTCAAAGGGTAAGGAAAATCTCTTCAAAATAGTGCTGGAACAATGAGATAGCCAAACACAGGCCTGACCCTTACCTCACACCATACACAAAAATTAACTCAAAATGATCATACACCTAACTGTCAGCACTAAAACTACCAAATGTCCAGGAGGTAACACAGGAGAATGCCTTAAAACTTTGGGTCCCTCTGAGAATTCCTGAGGAGTGCTGACCCAGCACCCAGAGCACCTGCCCGCGGGCACTGTACCTGCCCTCCACCCTCCACTGTGGGCTACTTAGTAGCGGGGGTGGGGATTGCAGATGCTGTGTAACAGACCTTAGAGAAATACCAGTATTGTTACTGATCACAAACCATATCTCTATGTTGCTTTCCTCGTACCATGTCTACAACTCCCTGCTCTCACACCCGTGTATTATCTCCACTGTAGAGATGAGGAAGCAGAGGCGGGGATCAATCTAGAATCTGCTTTTACAGATGAAGAGGCTGCGGCGCCTTCAATCAGTAGCGGTTTCCCTTCAGAGGGGTTTTCTTCTGTTTTTTCAACGGTTGTCAGGAATATGTAGACTCCAGTATGTACAACATCTAACAAATTCTTTTCAAGAAGACAAACCAACCAGCCTTTCGATGTGGCTCCTGAGTCGCAGCGTCGGCGGCTCAGGCTCGAGCTCTTGCGGCAAATAGGAAGCCGGAAGGGGTGGGGGCGCGAAGGGCTTGCGGGGGGCGGGGGGACTGCCCGAGTTCCCTAGCCACGCCCACGGTCGACTCGCCCTCAGTCCCCGAGGCTGTGCCAGGTGCGGAGGGACGCGGAGGAGCGGAGGGAGGGGACCCCACTCACCGCGTCGCGCAGCGCGTCCCCGCCGGGGGCTTTGGGTCCTCGCGCGTCCATGTCGAATGGGTCCCAGTGGGCCGGGTGGTTCCGGGTAGTCCCGTGGGCCCAGTGGTCCAGGTGGTCCAGATGGTCCCGGCGGGCCGGGTGGTCGGGTGGTTCCGGGTGGGCCCGATGGGTCCCGTGGGCCCGGGTGGTCCCAGGCGGCCGGGTGGTTCCGGGTGGGCCGGGTGGTTGCCGGTGGGCCCGGTGGGCCCCGTGGGCCTTGGTGGTTCCGGGTGGGCCCAGTGGTTCCTGGTGGGTCCCGTGGGCCCGGTGGTTCCGGGTGCGCCCGGTGGCCCCCGGGGGTCAGCTGCACTGCCCCCGGACAGGTCCCGGCAGCGGCGGCGGGGCTGCTTCGGCGGCGGGTCGCAGAGATACTCAGGCTGCAGAGGGGAATATTGGAGGAGCCTCGATGTGGGAAAGAGCGCAGCAGCTTAGGTCCCCAGAAGTGAATTCCGGGACAGGGCGCGGCTGCCGGTGCCGGGGACAGGCAAACAAAACCCGCAGGCAGGTCCGGGGAGGAGGCCCGGGGAGGTGGCTCGGGGAGGTGAGGGTGGCTCCTCCAGGCGTGATGGTCACTTTTCCCGGGGAGGGAGGGGGGACCCTGTGCAGGGACAAGGTAGCTGGTCCTGTTGGGCAGCTCACCCTGCACGAGACTGGTTTGCTTTGTTTTCATTGCATCAGAGATGAAAGAGGTAGGCAGAGTGAGCTCATCTTCTTCTTCTTATGGTAAAATATACACAATATAAAATTTACCATCTTAACCAGGTCTGACTAGGTATATGGTGCAGCGGCAGTGAGCACATTCACGTCAAACTGCTGTGCGGGGTCCCCACAGCTCACCTGCAGAATCCCTTCACCTTCCCAAACTGAAACTCTGCACCCCTTACTCGTGAACTCCCCCTCCCTGGCCCCTGGCACCCACCATCCCCCCTTCTGTCTTTATGTTCCCTGGGTTTTTATGTGTGTTGTCAACCTCTCTAAGGAGATTGTGGACCTGCCCGGGTGTGACTCACCTGTAGCCCACACACAGCCCAAGGGTGTACCCTCGTCCTGGGCCCATAATTCCCCCTCCAGGGGACGGCCATCTCTTTACATCTCTGCCATTTCTGTGGTCAACCTTAAAACTAAAACATGACCGAGCCTGACACACCGTCAGCACTGGTAACCCTATTCCGATTTTATTGACCGTCTGGAAGGAAGATCTAGTGACCCAGTCCCTCCTTCCAGGGCCCTTAAGGCCTGTCTGGATTGTGGCTTGTGGGTCACTTCATGAGTGACCCCCCAGGGCCCTGATTTTAGCAGGTACTGTCTGGGTCACCCCCGTGTCCCAGGGGCCCGGCCAGGCAACAACAGGTGGATACCTGGGTTGTTGAATGTGTGTGTGAAACACGACCATGCGTGCAAAGATGCCCAACATTGTCAATCATCAGGAGAAGGCACATCAAGCCCCAGTGAGATCCCACTGTACGCCCACTATGAAGCCTAGAATCAAGACACAGACAAGGACAGGTGTTGGCAAGGGTGTGGCAAAGTTCGAGCTCTTACAGGTTGCTGGTGGGATACAGCCAGTGTGGAGACTGGCTGTTCTGCAGAGTTAAATATAAAGTTACCATATAACCTGAATTCTACCTCTAGATATATACACAAGAGGAAGGGCAACATATATGTCACACAAACGTTCACAGCAGCGTTATCAACAGTAGTTAAAAAGTGGAAACAGGCTCCTGGCTGGCTCAGTCGGGGGAGCATGGGACTCTTGATCTTGGGGTTGTGAGTTCAAGCCCCGCGTTCAGTGCATTATCTGCCTTCAGCTCAGGTTGTGATCCCAGGGTCCTGGGATGAGCCCCACATCGGGCTCCCTGCTCAGCAGGAAGCCTGTTTCTTCCTCTGCCTCTCCCCCTGCTTGTGTTCCCTCTCTCGCTGTCTCTCTCTCCTTGTCAAATAAAAAAAACTTAAAAAAAAAAACCCAAGTTATTTAAAAAAAATAAAATAAAATCTTTAAAAAAAAAGGTGGAAACAGCCCAAATATCCACCAAAAGACAACGAATGGACAAGCAAAATGTGGTCCATCCATGCGGTGGAATATTGCTCAGCTCTGAGAAGGAGGAAAGCACTGAGGTGCTACAACATGGATGAAGCTTGGGAACTTCATGCCAAGTGGCAGGACCCAGTCACGAAAGGCCACGCATTGTAGGATTCCAGTTCTAAGAAATGTCCACAATTGGTGAATCTAAGGGAGAAAGCAGACTGGTGGTTGCTGAGGGCTGGAGAGCCAGGGCATGGAGACACTGCTCAGTAGTTAAGGGGTTTCTTTGGGGGGGGCAAAAAATAGTCTAAAATTAGATTATGGTGGTGGGTGCACAACCCTTGGAAGCAACTACAACTCATTGAATTGTATATGCTAAATGGCTGGATTTTATGGTATGTGAATTATATCTCAATAAAGCTGTTAAAGTAATAGCTTTTTATTTTTTTTAAAGATTTTTTATTTTATTTATTCATGAGAGACGGGGGGGGGGAGAGAGAGAAGCAGAGGGAGAAGCAGGCTCCCACGGAGCAGGGACCCCGATGCGGGACTCAACCCCACTGCACTTTTTAACAACTTTATTTTTTTATTTTTTATTTTTTTAAAATTTTATTTATTTATTCATGAGAGACGGGGGGGGGAGAGAGAGAAGCAGAGGGAGAAGCAGGCTCCCACGGAGCAGGGACCCCGATGCGGGACTCGATCCCAGGACCCCCACATTCATCATGATCCCAGGACCCCGGGATCATGACCTGAGCCGAAGGCAGACGCCCAACCATCTGAGCCACCCAGGCACCCTAAAGTAATAGCTTTTTATTTATTTTTTTAAAGATTTTATTTATTTATTTGAGAGAGAGAGAGCACATGAGAAGGGGGAGGGTCAGAGGGAGAAGCAGACTCCCTGCTGAGCAGGAAGCCCGATGCAGGACTCGATCCCAGGACTCGATCCCGGGTCTCCAGGACCACAACCTGCGCCGAAGGCAGTCACCTAACCAACTGAGCTACCCAGGCACCCCAAAGTAATAGCTTTTTAAAAAGCATGGACACTTTTCATGTCTTTTTAAGCATCTTCCCTCTGAGAGGGGCTGAGAAGGAAAGATGTGCAGTGTGAACACTGGTGTGTGGGAGAAGGGAGGGGGGCATTCTGTCTGGGCTACTCTGGGGAAGAGGGGGTTAGGCAGGGAGGGTCATGGGCTAAGCCCTGGGTGAGGAATCCGGTCAGACGGCTTCTGGTTTCTCTCTGAAGGAGGCGGAGGTGGGGAGCCACCTACGGAAGGAGGAGGCCTCATGCAGGGTGATCCGTGTTCTCTCTCAGCCCCTGAGGACCCAACGAAAACCTGCTAGGCCGGAGGGGCCAGCCTGGCATTCTCGAAGACGGGAAGCTCCTCCTCTGCAAGGGCGGGTTCCCTCTTGCAGGCAAACAGCCTCCTGGACACCCCTCCACACAGGGCCGGCTGCAAGGTGCTGGGCATTTCTGACACCCTGTGCTGGCTGTCTTAGGCTGGGGCAAGGCAGACCTTGTGAACATCCTGGGGAGCATGTTCTGGTAGATCACTTGATACTAATAGCTGGTCCTAGCTAAAGGTCCGTGTTCCTGTGCAACCTCATATCCCACAGTGACTATACCTCCCTTGTTTTTAACTACAGACAGTATTCAGCAGGCAGGGAGCTTGGCCTGGCTCATGGGAGCCTGAAACTGGAAATGCAGAAGAGCAGAGGCTCTTGTCTCTCACCTGCATGTGCTTCTCTTCCCCAAGGAGCCTGTCTCTGAGTCTGCCCAGCCAGGCCTTAGCTGATCATTCAGTTCAAGCTTCCAGGACTGCCTGACCGAGGCAGTTAGCATCCGTGTGCCCGGCAGCCCCTGGGGAAACAAAGACAGGGGCCCCCTGCCCAGAGAGTGGCTGGAGGCCCGGGGGCAGGTCACAGGTTCTCTCCAGGTGGATCTGATAGAGGTGGCCCAGAAGCCCCCTTCAGGAGGTAGAGCCTGAGAAACTCCCATCAGAGTCTGAGGCCTAAGAAGGAAGGACCTCGGAACCAGTCTCCTCACTGAGTTGGGGATGGTGAGAAATTGTGTGGGGTGAGGGATCATGCAGTCACCAGGAGAGAGAATCCATAAGGTGGATAGGAAGATTCTAGAAGTGGAGCTGGCAGGGGGCGGGTGGCCTGGAATGGAGGCAGAAGTCACTGGAGGTGGGCTGTTCAGGGTCTGGGCGGTTAAACAGCATCCCCTGTGGTTCTCAAGCCATAGCATCCAAGTCGTTTGGTGCCCTTCCTGAGCCCAGGAATCTGCATTTCGACAAGCACATCGTGTAATACCTCTGTGCACCCGTGATGTGTGGTAGTGTTGGGCCAGGGTCGGAGCAGGCTCCACGACGCTGGGACTTTCGGGGAGAGGAAAAGGAAGGCTTAGTTTTGTGTGTGGGGGTCGCAAATACTACAAATTTCCAGCAGGACGCAACTGGGAGACAAAGCTGCGTCCGCTGACCTAGGATAGGCGAAGCGTCATAGAAAGGGGAATACCCAAATACTTTCTGGAAGAGGGGCTAATATTTATTATTTCCACCTTCGTTCATCTCCACAATAACCCATGCAAGGCAAAGATTGTGACCCATGTCAACTTCACGGAGTTGTTTGAGATCGCAGCACGGGGCCGGGAGCAGGGCGTCCCACTGAGGAAATCCATCAAAGGACACATCAACAGAATGAAAAGGCCACGTGCAGAATGGGAATATTTGCAAGTCATGTATCAGATGAGGAATTGATACCAGAATATTTAGAGAGTTCCTAAAACTGAACAACAAACAACCTGATAAAAATGGGCAAAAGACTTGAGCAGACATCTCTCCAAAGATCATGTGCACATGAAAAGGTGCCCTACATCACTGGCCAGAGGGAAATGCGAATCCGAACCACAGGGAGGCAAATTTCACATTCATTATGATGGCTATTATCAAAACCCCAGAAACGTGTCGATGAGGATGTGGAGAAA